TATTTAAAAAAAAGTAATAATAAAAATCAAAATCTGTTTAATAATAAATAAAACTAATTTTTAACCAATGAATCAATTAATTTATTTTAAAAAATACTTTTAATTACTACGCTAATGAATACAGGTAAAATGAATTCATTTTCAATTTAATGGTTTTGAACTCTGGAAAGTTGATCCAGATAAAAATAAACCTTTCGATCAATTTGATGGCAAATCCTTATTTTGATTAAATTTTTATATTAGTTTCGAGAAATTCAATAAAATTCTGTTACATATACTTATAATAAGATATAAATATCAAACTCTTTGGTTATATAATAGAGGATTAAATAATAAAATAATGAATGAGTAGTCAGTTCTTAGTGTGGCGTTCACTCCATGATCTCAATCGGACCAGTGATGGCTTTTTGCCATCAAATTCATTATCTCTGTGAACATCAATCAGTTTTTCCTTATTTCGCTTTTTGAGGTCCAAATCAAGTGATTGATCCAAATCGTAGTCAATTGGAGGCAAATCAGCGCTAAATTCACGGCTCAATTGAGATAAATATTTGTACTTAAGTGAGCCATACATCCCAAAGTCGTCCACATCTGTGGCCATCTGTTTGTCGTACCGCTTGTAAGCATTCACTTCTGGTAACACTTGTGTATCACTCAGACCTGACAAATGTCTCACTTCTTTGTCCGTTAATTAAGTTATTAACAGAAAAAACGAGTCAAAACAAGTGAACCAATGCTACAAAAACTAAATAGATGTACGAAAAGTCAATCAAACCTTTAAAAGTGAGGTCTGGTTCTGATTCAAAGACCACCTCTCGTTTGGGGTCATTATCTCTATCGTAGCTCTCAATCCACTTCTCCTTAAGCTGTCTGTGGGTTAGGATCTGATGCGGCGACGCATCCAATATCTGTTTGGCTTCATTCAAGTGAATCGACTGTTGATTCACTTTTGCCTCCAAAGCGGTGATAATATCTTTGAGCTCTTCGACAGCGGCTCTCAACTCTTCGATACAATTATGACGTCTGAGTTGCGATCTCTTCATCTCTTTGTGGCACTCAATACATTTGACGCACGAATTGGGCTCAAAGTCACACAAGTCTTTGTGGATAATCCGCTCCTCCGGTGATGACAGTCGCGCAGAGCAGCCATATATGGCGTTATCACACGAGACACCCGTTAGGAACCGGCGATTCCGTTGAGGAGGAACTGGCGATGCACTGGCAGACCGTCCAGAATAATGGCCACTCATTTTGGATCTAACGCTCTGGAAAGCCTTTCAAACATTAAAATAGGCATAAATTTGTTCAAATTATTGATGTTATCGCTAAATCCACCCCTCATTCGCTTATTATATGGTATCAGTTTTCACTCATTAGTAAATTTCTTTCAAATCAGTAATCATTTAAAACATTTTTTTTAGGCATAAATTTGTTCAAATTATTGATGTTATCGCTAAATCCACCCCTCATTCGCTTATTATAATGGTATCAGTTTTCACTCATTAGTAAATTTCTTTCAAATCAGTAATCATTTAAAACATTTTTTTGTGTCAAACAAAATATCAGTCATTGAATGGTGATTTATTTATATTAATAGATATTGACAGTTATTTATTTAAATTTTGCAGTCATTGATGCTTTAATTACCAAAATTTCTAATTATTTTAAATTGAATCAAGAATTAAATTTTAATTTAAGCTATCACTTTAAATTTTCTATTAAAATAAAATTTTATTAATTAAATTTGTTATTATTGACATTCATATTTAAAGTTTATTTCATTGTGTTAATGAATTTAGTAGTTTGTTGGCTTTATATCAGAGAATTTTATTTACTATTTTACAATGAATTTTGTAATCAATTGTATGAATTCTATCCAACAGATGAAACAAGAGATAAAATTTTTTGTTATAAACGTTATATCATTTTCATTATGATTTGCATTCATTGACCCCATAGAGTGTCGGGACTTATGATATTGTTTATTCTTTTATGAATTTGCATTTTGAATGACTTTCATATTTCTAAAGCTTTAATTTTTCTTCATTTTGTTTGTTATTTGTGTTAATAACACAAAAAAAGGGAAAATAAAGTAAAAGATTAAAGAAGTTAATTCTTAACAAAACGCTAAATCATAAGTTTGGCTCAAATGTGCGCCAAATTTGCGCAAAACAATGCGGACAACGGTTGCAGAGATTTATCGCATAATGAATGGCACAGAGAGTTATCGTTTGAATAATGATTAGGACATCCAGTGGTGAACATAAATACGGAAATAAGAGTTGTGTTGCACTCGGGCTCCAAAATAAATAAATAAATG